TTTATTGCTTGTGATTATTTATAAAATTTCTGTCATCAGCTCAAGTGTTTGCATGAGGCTTTAGAGATTGGATGTGGTACAACGTATAGTATCAATATTCCTTTATTTCCTACGAAAATGGCTCAATGGGCACCGCAACAAAAGAATCTGTAAGTATGAGTTTACGTATAATAAGATATTCTATATGTTGGAAATACTATACAGGGTTGTGTTTGAAACGACAACACTGAATTGTCGATTACATTGTTGTATTGCAGTTATGATTGTGGATTATTCACAATAAGGTTCATGCAACTATACGACAAGCTAAGGGCCGGGATGCATTTAAGTATTGGTAACTCATATTTGGAGAGAAGGAAAATGGCTATTGAGATATTCTACCATCAAGCAAATGAAACAAAGGAAGAGATACTTAGAAAAATAGTACACTCTTCTGAAGCTGAGTGTCCTGTTGCAGCGCCTTAATCCTCACTGACAGCTCGGACTTCTGCTCCTTGTAGGCCTTTAATGTTATTATTGTTTTTAACTGAAGTATTAATTTTTAATCTTGTTTTTACTTAATTATAACGTGTGCTTTTCTATTTTTTTTTCAGCTAGTGCTGAAACTGTTCCAAGCAGCAAGCAAAGAGAGCAGGCCGAGAATTTAATTTGGCGAAGTCTTATAATATTTTTTTATTGTTTTTGAAAGTTTTTCCTTTTATTTTAAACTAAATTGGAACATTCACCGACTTGAAAGCCTCTGACCCTGTGGCTATTTCGCTGCATTTTATTGAGTTTTTTTCTTTTGAATTGTTCGGTTCTGAAGATGATTCGACATTATTTTTAACTAAAGTTTTCTTATCTCACCGCCGGCTTGTCTGCTTGTTACATTTTCCTTTACTCGGCATTTTACTTTACCAAGCTTGGAGATTACTAAGCTGGTCTCATGTATTGTGTACCTTGGGTACATGCTTATTGTGGTTTGCTTTCTTTGTGTTGAAGGGACAATTGGGTTCTATGCATGCTTCTGGTTCGTTTGGAAGATATGTTCATGCGTGAAAATCGATTGGAAGTGAAAAGGTCATGATTTTGGAGAAATTTGCATGTCTATCTTGGGGTTTTCTTGGTTCGTAGAGAAGTAGCAGCTGTGTAAATTTTTCACTACCTGCTAAAAATACCATTTTTCTATTTTGTTACCTGCTAATAATACCTCAGCTTGCATTATTAGATGTTCTTACTATGTCTTCTT